ACCCGCGCCTCGCCGCACGCTACTTGGATCGATAGAATGAGCAAACCAAAAATTGGGAGACTAGGATTCGTGAAAACCTAACAAAACAAATTGTTAGGTTTGCACGAAATTTATTCAAGATTCTAATAGTACACTTTTCAGCCCTCCTCCAGGAACAAAATTCTACGTAAAGTGAAACATCCGCAAAAAAAAGAACAGAAAATTAATTTTTCAGAACTACAGGAGGGGGCGAGGAAAAAAGCGGTTTTTTTCATAGAAAGTCATGACCTGGTGAAGCACCGTAGGTTCAATAACTGAAATATCCTAAATTTTGTTATCCAAAAAAATTGTGTTTATAGTCCTATAAGATTTGTAGCGCGATGAATTTATTCGGGGTTTTTTCGAATGCACAAACATATTGTCATGTTCGTAAATATGCTCGCGTGAACATGGTTTCCCATACATGGGCGAATATATTATTTTTTATTGCTTGTTTTAATTTTTTTCCCTATATTTTTATTTTAAACTCGTGTTAAGTTAATAATTTCAAGGTGTTTCTGAGGCAAAAGTTGTTTGTTTCTTATTTTAAATGACATATATTTTTTGATAAGGGTTTTATTGTTAAGTTCAAAAATGATTTATAGTCTTATAAATTATTTTGTGTAGAGCTTGGCTTTTACCTAACTGCGAAAACTGATTTATATAAATGAGTTTTCACCGAAACATGTTTTTTTTTACTTCTCTTAAGTTTGTCTTGTCATCCTTAAAAATTAACCTGTTGGAACTCTGTTTTTTTGCCAATCTACTGAGAATGACTTATAGTCATATAAAAGCATTTTGCAAGGAAGGGTTTTCTTGCACATTTTGAGGAACGCTAGACATTTCACCTGATTTTTTGCCTTCTTTGTCGCAAAATGATTAAAAACGCTATCTTTTTCTGTAAAAAATAACAGCTTGACTTTAACTTTTTCATTCTATAAGAAATGTTAGGTTTTCTCCGATTGTGAGGTTTTCACGAATCCCCTGCTGAGTGTATATTTCCACGTTTCAGCGGAAGATTCATTTCGTTTTTGCTCATCGTATCGATGAAATGTGTGTGTGTGTGTGTGTGTGTGTGTGTGAGTCTGTGTGTGAGTGAGTGAGAGAGAGAGAGAGAGAGAGATAGATAGGTAGAGAGAGAGAGAGAGAGAGAGAGAGAGAGAGAGAGAGAGATAGAGAGAGAGAGAGAGAGAGAAAGAGACGATAAGTCTCCAACCTTGGCCAACAGCAAAGTCTCAAACTCGCGCCTCGTCGCACGCTACTTGGATCAATAGCTGCAAGGGCGATACAAAGTGCAGCCAATCTTCGCACCTCCCTCTCCAATGACATCTCGCAAAGATGCACGCCCCGCAGGAGGGCAAATCGGACAGGCACCATTGGAAATGGGACCGCAGGTTCGGTAGGTGCATTACGAAAAGATGGGCCCCTCACTGACAGGGGCCTGCACGAAAGTTCAGAGACCTCAAGGGCAAATCACAAAACCTTGGCCGTCCAAGGGCAAATCGCCAATTACCGAAAATTTCAGGGGCATTTTGCAAATTTTTCCTAAAATAAAAAATAAAATAAAATAAATGAGAAAAAAAGAAAAGAAAGTGAGGAATAAGATAATTCGAATTTTTGGAAAAAGTGGAAAGATAAATCAAAGGAAAGATAGAAAGAAGAAAAAAACAGAAAAATTTCGAAGTAGGAGAGAACGGGGATGAAAAAGTGAGGGAGAAAAAAAAGAAATAGGTGGAAGAGAGAAAAAGAGTGAAGGGGGAGATGGGGGAAGTGATGGGGTTGTAGTTGGGGGAGAGGAGGGTGAGAGAATGGGAGAGAAAGGGATGAGAAAGGTGGAGGGGGATCAAGAAGCAAAGAGAAAAAAGGAGAGAAAAGAAAATAAATGAATAAAAAATAGGGAGAGAGGTATACATTTTTTTTTAAAAGAAAAAAAAATAATAAAAATCTTTATATGCTTAAAAAGAAATCAATCAAAATCTCTTTTTTTGCTTATTAGATTCAAGTTAAAAGGAATTTGTGATTTATCGTTTTAGAATAAAATGAAAAGCATCTCAAGTGAGGGTGAGTAGGAGGAAGGGAGTGAGGTAGAAGAGGAAGAAGTAGAGGGGGTGAGTAAGAGGAGAGAGAAAAGGTAGGGAAAGTGGGTTAGTAGGGAGAGGGAAGAGAGAGGTGATACCTAGCCCTTGGTGTCTCCAAGGGCACAAGGTATACCAAGACCAGGAGGAGTCTTGGTCTTCGTTGCCGCAAGCCAGCTGGAGGAGAGAGGGGGCAAAGATTTTGTCAGCCCCTAGCAGCTCCAATGTATGCTGTGTGAGCAAACCCTCATCAGTGTAGAGCAACCCCCTCAGCAGGGGGGTCTTCAGTTCCACAGCAAGCTGCCACGTGGCACTGCAGATGGCCACGTGCACTGGCAGCAGTAGCCACGGGGGGGGGTTGCAAATAGCTGGCCTGCTGGCCTCGGGGGGGGGGAGGAAATAGCTGGCACGCACCTCTTCAACAGCTGCATGCCGCACTACAATGTCATACACACACTGTGCCGACTGTGTTATGGCAGCAGTTACGCACACACATAGCCAACAGCTGCCTAGGTTGAAACCCTGGTGGCACCGTCCATCCCAGATCTTGATAATATAAAATCCGCGAGCAGGGCGGGGTGGGGCAATGTGGGCGTGTGTGCGTGTGCGGTGGCCTTGGCCTTTCGCGCCATGTGGCACTCCTTGCTGCTGTACCTTTTTCTCAAATTTCCCCGCTGTTTTCCGCTGCAAACAGCCAAAAAACAGCGAAAAACCCCGCTGTCAGGTTTTGCTGTGCGGTGTGGCGGGTGGGAGTGGGGAGCATTCCCGCTCTGATACCAGTGTAGCGAAAACCCCCCCTGTCGGGTTTTGCTGTGCGGTGTGGCGGGTGGGAGCGGGGAGCATTCCCGCTCTGATACCAGTGTGGCGGGCCCACCAGATGTGGTGCTCCGCCTGGGACAGAGATGGAGATGGAGGATGAAGGGGGAGCGAGATGGCACAGCGCAACTCCCACGCGAGACTCCAACGCGCATAGTCCAAGATGTGCGAATGTAGAATGATCCGGAAAACAGATATCCGCTGGGGTATACCCCAGCGGGCTGACGGGACTGGACTGGCTGGTACGGACAGAGGTACCAGCCTGGATTGGACTACCCCTAATACAACACAGGCCTGTAAGAACAGGCCAAGGGGCTGGTCTCACAGGCCAACCAGAGGTCAGCTACATAATTGATACATCCTAGTAGGGCCGTATTTACGGTCTGATGTATTGTGCTGGTGTGAGTCTTGAGGTACTCCCAGTGGATATCCACTTGTTGCCAAGCATACAACGAAAGTCCATCATGGCAATCACAATGCATAGGTTGCCCGTCTGGGGTCAGGTGAAGAACCTTGATATAGACTTGGGCTTTCTTGTCCTTCTGGCGATGGTCTCTCTTCGTAAGGTGGCTCTGTTGCCTCAATAGCTGGACATGGCTGTCTTGCCGCCTGAGGTTCACCTCTTCGCCTACTTCTGAAGTGTGTAGCGGGCAACGCCCATGGAAGAAACGCATTAGGATGATGCCACAACGCCGATATCTGATCTAGTACTTGCCGCGGGGTACCTCAACGGACTTGGAGGCCATTGCTTCCTCCAGCCGACCACTTGACTGTCGTTCCGCCTGACCTTTACATCTTTGCCGACGACTGACGCGTGTAACGTGGCAAAGCCCATGGAGGAAACACATTAGAATGATCCCACAGAGAGTGACCACCGGAATCATGACCTTCAGAGGTACACGGGGACAGCCACTACACGAAGTTGAGGGTTCACTCCATAGTGAAGGAACGCTCTCCCCCGAGACGGCGGCAGGACTTGCTCCTGGAGTTCGGCGTGGCGGATCGTCGCTGCCGTTAACAACGACGGCCGTCGCACTGTCAGTCAACGGAGGGGAGGAGGAAAT